GCTTCGTGTCTTCTGATTGATTGACTTATTAACTGAATTACACAAAAGATTTTCCCCTTACACCTGTGAGAGGGCTGGGAGGCAAAGCAAAAGGGAAACAGTTGATTCCAGAGAGGATGAGACACCCTTAAGCAACCAGCAGACCACGCTTCTTCAATCCAGATTTCTGTCGTTAGGAAAACTGCAGCTTGGCTTGATCATGTGTCCTTTGCCCTGCTGTTGGGTTTTGTGATGATCTCGGACAGAATGAGAGAGAAGCTCAGAGAGGAAAGGGGGACAGGCATCATGCTGGGGATAAGGACAATCAGAAAGGATGCAGACTTGAGCTATCATCTACTGACCTGACATATCCTAGAGTCCGATCAGCTCAGGAAAGGATGAGGACTTGAATCATTACTTAGGAGTCAACATATAGCCACTAAAGTCATTCGGTTGAACTATCTTGAGTAGCAGTTATGCTCCTGGGATCATGAAGATAAGACAAATAGCAAAGCTACCTGTGTAGGAGGGAGAGGGCAGCCATTAACAGCTATTAAATGATTATTTTGTGCTAGTCACTGTCTCAGACCAAGACTTTGAGAGGTTACGTGCATGAATGCTGTTACCTGTAAGTAGCAGGATGGGATTTGAATGCTGGCAGCCAACACATCCATCCACTGCACTACCCCGGCCCTCTGTCCAGCATGACTATGACTATGTTGGGGGACTTACGCTACAAGTTGGCCCTAGATCTTCCCCTATTTGAAGAGAGCCAGTTTAGTTCAACTTTTTCATGGAAATTTCTGAACTTTTTAATTGTTGGAAATATCTTTAAAAAATTTTTAAACCCATTTTAGGTCAATATGCATATGGCTGAGTTTGGTCAAAGATTACACCCTTCTTGAACAAAGTCGTTAAATCATTGTTCAACCTGCAATTCTGTGCACACATGGGATCCACCTGGACCAATGAAGCAGAAATGTAAACAGGAAGCTACACTAGTCCCATTTTGAGAAATGTTCTTTAAAGAAGCATTCTAACATTGGATCCTAGGCTTTGCTAATTTTATGAGAAATCTCGGAATAATATGGATCAAGGTTTCAGATTTGTGATAGAGTAATGTGAATTCAGGCCAGTGCCATCATCCTATAATGCAAAGACTATCAGCTAGTCACATTGTGGTATATGGTCAGTGAGTTACATGTGGATAGAGATACTGACCCTCTTAATTCTCAGGGGTTGGGTAGTTTTCTGGCCATACCTAATCCATGTTACTTGTTTAACCCATGTTACAGATACTATGTGTGTGTGTGTGCGTGTGTGCATACATCTATGTGTGTTGTGTTAACACACGCCATGAAGCTATAATATGAATTTCCCTGCCTTACCCAAAATTTCTTCTTTTGAAATAGTGGAATCCACATCTTTCCATAAATCCTCACTGTGACTCTCCGGCTCTTCTGCTTACCTGGATAGTAGGGCATCTCCCTTTGGGTTTTCCTATCGTCTTCATGGATTTTTTCATTAAAGACAAATCACTGCATCTCATTCATTCATCCATTCCAGTTCTTTTCCAGATCTCCAAGTTCAAATAGAAATTTGGTACTATTTTGGTTTTAATTAATTCAATCATAATTTGTTATTTGTTGGATAGGTCCCTGGGGAAAGGACATGGGGCTTTCTAGGGTGATCAACTTGTTTTAGTCTGCCTGGGACATTGCCAATTTTAGCACTGAAAGTTCTGTGTTCCAGAAATCCCCTCAGGCCTGAACAAACCAGGATAGTTGTCACCCAAGGTCAGCACAGATTTGTCACAGGCAAAATGATAGACCCTACTTCACGTGAATAGTTTATGAGGAGAGGAGGGAGAAAAGAGGAAACCCTTGGCTTCATATGGGTGGGTAGGTGTGGAGTTGGAAGGGAGAAGAATTCACAAAATTACCTCAGTAGATAAACGTAAGGTTGTCTGCTGAAAGAAAAGTGAGTGGCTGGTGGAAGAACGGTCCCTCAAAGAACCCTAGCTTCTTTCTTAACATATTCTTCTAAAACAACTTGACAACAATGTATGTTAGGCACGTCCATACTTTACATGAATACAGTCCATCATTTCTGGGAGAACGAATATTCATAGTAGTTATATATTTGCTTTTCAAAACTAAAAGGCAAATTCAAAGTTATAATTTATTAAATTGAGGTACCATGATCCTTTGAGGTGTCTGTTCCCATGACCACTCTTCTTTAATAACCACTTGCCCTCATCCATCTCCCATCCTCCTGCTTTCTACCCCCCACATCCTAAATAACACACCTAGTATAAGTAATAGTTACTCACTCAAAAGTGGGGAAATGTGGAGGGAGGGAAGCACTCAAACCTGTGTTAGTCAGGGTTCTCCAGACAAAGTCCAGTAGGCTGTCATCTATCTATATCTCTATCTATCTATCTATCTGTCTGTCTGTCTATGCTGGTATAAACACTGGCATCCAAGGCCTGAAACCTGGAACTCTGATGCCCAGCAGATGATGGATGTCCCAGCTCCAGAAGGGTGGAACTGACCCTTAAAAATCCACTAGAGAACAAATAAGCCCAAGTCCTGAGAGGAACTGAGGACAGGTGGGTGAAACTCAACAGGTGACATTGAACAATTGACTAACCTTTTTTGCCAATGTGCCTCTATCTGCAAAAGGGAAAGGGTGGACTGTTCTAGTCCAAAGATTCCTTGGGCATTCTAGAATTTTAGGCCTTTTTGAGGGATTGTACAAAAAGGGAATCAGTTATAGAAAGACCATCAATAAATGTTAGAAGTCCTTGGTATGTGAAGCCAAGAAATTGGCTAGGGATCCCCACAAGGAATTAAAATTATGACTAGGATGAAATAACCCTATAGTCCTGAGAATAAGACAGTGCTCTGAAATTTTTCTACAAGGGAAGTGTTTCTTAGAACTAGAGGAGTGGCTCAAGTGGCAGAGTGCCTGTCTACCAAGCATGAGGCCCTGAGTTCAAATCCCATACAGCAAAAAAAAAAAAGCCAAAAAAACAAAACAAAACAAAACAAAAAAACCCAGGAGGTGTCACTCCTCATATCAGAAGCGAAATTCTAGCTGTATACCTCTGTAATTTATAAAACATTGCCACATCGAACAATAGCTGGCAGATGAGAAGCCCTAGCTGACACAGTCCTGAAAAACAGAGAGCACAGTTTCCATTGCCCTCATCTGATGGATGGGGAAACAGTTTCCAAGTAGTTAAGGTCACAGAATTGAGTCTTGGACTCTGTTTTTGTGAATCTCTGTTACTTCTCTGAAGAATGTGCTCCCTGGCAATCATGTCAGAAGTGGGAGGCCTCAGTGGGGAGTATTAGGGACCCACAGAGCACAATGTGCTCTCACCACGTTAGAGCAGAAGCCTACAGTTATATATTCCATGTTTACCAGCTTTGCAGGGGGCTTCCTTTAGCCCCACTGGGGAGATCTCACTGTATCAGGAGGTGTCCTGACCACTGTGTGCTGACTTTGCTGGGCTGTGCTAGGCTTTGTGTTTTGAGAGGCTATGGGATGGAAATAATCAAGGAGTCTCTGGGGAACCGTGCTTTTCTCTCATGTGTTATTATGTGAAGCTGGATGCTATTGTACCAAGTTTTTGCTATTTAGAGATTTTTGTCCTTCACATTATGCATTCCAAAAATAGGCCTGCAGGCCTATATATTCTTGCCCGTTTGAATTTAATTCCAAATCTTCTTACTGACATGGATGTGATTTTATTGTTTGTGGCCCAGCCAGGCCAGAGGAGAAGCCTGAAGACAGACTTTTGAATGATGCTGCAGGCCAATTTCTCTGATCTTTTTAATACTGTCACCTAGGGACCTGGCTCTGAAATGACTTTGATATTACTCTCTGGCCACTAGGAAACATGTGGAACCTCACAGAATCAACTGCTCCCAGGAGTCAAAGTGGAGCTCATGTCCCCTCCAACCTCACTAGGATATTAATGGAATACAATATGGTCACACGTGCAGTGTTCTGAGGACTGTCTCAGGATCACCCCCAACCTTTCCTAACTGTTCCATAACTTGGGAGGGCTGGTGGCACCACACCATGATTCATTCCTGATGTCTTTGACCTGTTGAGCTTCCAAGGACATTATGGCTTCTACTGCTTGTGTGTCCTAGCAAGACTAAGACTAAAAGCTCATATGCTATTTTGTCCAGTGGCATTTCTATTTAGCAACAGCTCATTGCTGGAGATGCTGCTGTCTAAAGAACAAGAGAAGGTTCCAGAACACTGACAGTTGTTACCAGCAGCAACCCCATGCCCTCTACTCTCCACATGTGATAGCCACAGCACTGCATCTGGGCAGGAAAGGCCTGTACCTGGCCCCAGCGGTGGGCTGAGATGTAAACATCTAGCCAGAGGACATGGCCTCTTTGGTGCATGTCATAATCAGAAGAATTCAGAGCTCATGCCATTTGGGGTAGTGAGTTTGGGAAGCATGTATAATGGGCTGTCAGTATTCATTCATTCGTGCCTCACTCCAGTCTTCCCTCACATGGCTGAGTGGCCAGTGTGTGCCGTGTGCTATGCTGGGGACTGAGAATCCAATGGTGAACACTGAGTACATGTTCTCAAGGAGAGGCTTCTGTTTCAGTACAGCCACTCAAGGACTTCAGCTGTTTTGGCCTCAGTGGGTTAGTTAGTGCAAGTCTCTGTAGGTGTTGAAGGGGACTCATTGAGTTTGGAAACTCTGGCTCCCCTCTGCTCTTTGGAGCCTGGCTCTTGGTTGGCCTGGCACAAAGAGCAAGGCATTCCACAGGCCACTGGCTGCCCTCTCCAGATGAGTACTACACATGGGCGGGGCTAGGGCGTGAAGCCCTCTGAAGGCTGTGTCATCTCGGGCTCCAGCCACAGAGGTTTCATCATAGAGGAAAGCTGAGCTGTGAGCACGTTGCTAGGCTGTGGCTATTTATTTTTATAAATGAGCTTTGTGCTTAATTTAGAAAACTGCTTTTGTTTTTTCTTCTTTCCAGCATCATCTGGCTGTCTGGCACCATCAAAGAATTACATTTCTGACCCAACAAGAGCTCGTGGGTGGAGGGGGGAGAGAGAGTTCGGGGAGAGGATGGATGCCAGTCAGGCTGCCTCACGGGGAAGTGGCAACACGTGGCCATGCCATTAGCGTCCTGTTTGGCTTCTGTGTGAGTTTCATCTGTGACACCTACATAGCCCTCACTTGGAACTGCAGTCCTGGTGCCCGTGCCTCTTCTGATGAGCCACCCACCAGAATACAGCAGAACAGAAGGCAAGGACATGCAAAAGAGGACTCAAGTCAGGTGCCAGAAGCAGGTGACATCTTGACTCTCCAGCCTTTGGAGGAGCTATTTTAATAGAGCCACTTTACTGCAGCTATTTAGACACACAGATATTACGATTTGGCCCAAAACTTAGCTGAAAAATGTTCAGCTTTTTAAAAAAAATAAATGAATAAAATGTGCATTTTAGACTCCCATCTGTGAGCTTCACCCAACCCTGGTCTTTACCCCACTGTCAACCCCATGTCCAGGCATCAAGAACATATGGATTGGGACAGGTGAAAGAAATGGATTCTAGGTGTTCAAAATAGGAGAGATACAAGAACCAGGAAATAGGCCAAGAATGGAGTGTCACATCATTAGGTGACTGTCAGAATTAGGAACTGGTCAGGACTACAGAAGGTTGGGAAGCCTCTGAAGTAAAATATGAAAGGGGAAGGCGGACTGTCAAATTCATAGGTGGGAGAAGAGTCAGAGATGGAATGAAAAGCTAGAAATTAGTTGTACAAAATAGTTTATCTCACCTGTTGTATCTGCTGTATCAACAGTTGTGTCAAAACAGCTGCATGAAATTATTGGAGAAGAGAGATGTGTAGGATTCAGAAAGCTCATTTTGGCTCTTCCCTGACTCACAGTAGCATCTGACTCATATATGTCTACACATTTCACTTTAGGGTTTGTTGGAGCCTCAGTTTTTCCATATAAAATCCAGATGATTGTGTCTGCCCTTCCCCTTTTCCTACCTTTTGCTTCCCCCTCCAAGCAACAGGAGGAATGAGCCAGCGGCTCGTAAACTGCCCCAGGTCACCTGGAGAAAAGTACTTGCGTAAATGGTGGTTATTAGAATAGGTGAGTCCTTGGTGAGTCAAGAATTTCAGAGTTGGGCAAGTGTGGCAGTCCCTGTCGGGTGATTCATGTGGACACAGTGAAGCCTCTGGCTGTGTGTGATGACTTTGCTGTAGGAACCACAGAGAACTGAGCATTCTGTACACAAGTGCTATAGATTGAGGTGCTTGGTGCTAGAGGATTAGGCCTGAAGAGTAGAAAGAAACCTGTTATTTCAGCCTGTAATCTATGAGCCTCACTGTGCAAAAAACGGTCACAGTCTGTGTCCAATCATCAGCAGGCCTCTGCCTGTGAAGAAACACTTCTGGGTTTCTGCCTTTAGTCAAACTTGTCAAAGTTCCCTGGAGGCAGTTTCGATGAGGTAAAGGGAAGAAAACATTCTACCAGATTCTAGAACTTTCTGGATTGGTCATTCACAAGAGAAGAGCTTTTGCCTTGAGAAGAGCTTTTGCCTTGCGTGAAGCCACGCCGATTTGGATGGGGTGTGCTTCTAGGATTCACACAACAAGTTAGCAGGCCTGAGATCTCAGCTTCCAGAAGCTCATCTTGGAGCCACCATGCAGCTGGCCTTCCTTTGAGCCCTCAGAGTGGAGGTGAAGGACATGTGTGTTCTCTGCAGCTGGGCTGACCCAACCACAGATCCGACTTCCCTCATCCCTATTTTAAGAGCCAAAGTGCCACCTCCTCAGTACAGTTAATCTTTGTTCCTGCCACTCATCCCTTTTTCTTTGTTGTTTCTCACAAAGGCCCTGACTTCAGAGTTCTTATAGGGTTTGGATCCCCCTCACAATGACTTCCAAGTGCCAAGATCAACCCTGTTCCAGCAGCAGCAAGTGTTCAAAAGAGAGCAAGGGCTGAGCTTCTCTCCCTTTGTGGTCCTTGGATTTATGTGGGAATTTTTTCTGGGAACTGTTTAGTGTCTCACTCAAGCCTCTCCCTAACCTACAACATGTTTCTGTCCCAGAGAGTCACTTTGCATTGTAACTGGATGATGGTAGCAGCTTTTCTTTCTGAACCTGGGTAGAAGTGTTCAGTAGCTCTCCCCCCCTCCCCCAACCTCCCACACGGCTCCCCAAGGACCTTGGCTAGGCACACAGTGAACATTACTGGTGTTGTTATCACTGTGAGACAGGCTTGAACATCTTCCTGACATGGAAGAGGACTTCCTGTGTCCCTCCAGGAGTGGCCTGGTTCTGACTTGGTTTGCCTGGACCTATTATAAACAAAGGCCTAGTGTCTTATAGATCAGAGGACATTTTATGCTTCCAGGACAGAATAGTAAATGGGGCAACACCTCTTCTCCATAGGGACCAGTGAAGGCACTGGCCCAGGGTGAAGGGAAGGGAAACTTTTAGAGGTGAGCCAGGAAGACCCCTGCCTCAAGGTCTGAAACCAATGTAGTTAGGCCAAGCCTGAGCAGGATAAGGCTTTGCAAAGAATGTTCCTTACAGGAAGATAGAGTCCTTCCAGGTATATGAATTGGCTCCTAAAAGTCTTCCTGGAACTCTTTGAGATAAACAGGTCAGGTGTTTTTACTCTCATTGTTTACCAAGGGGAAAACTAAGTTCCAGAAAGTTTAGCTAACTTTTTTGGTGTCAACTGGTGGGCTTGAGATAAGAAACTTCAAATTCTTGACATCTAGTCCAGTGTTTTCCATTACCCCACATTGCTCTTCAGCAGGACCTAAGCAAAACATCCAACACACACAAGCTCCAGGCCTTCCAGCTGGGAAGAGTTGGGAACTGGCATGGAGTTACAGTGGAGTGGGCAAGCACTGGGAGAGTGCAGGTGCTGTTTCCACCTGCTTGGACAGCGAGGCAAGGTGGCTTCACAGGGGAGATTACCTGGGGGCCCACTGTCTATGATGCTGTGGTGAGGTGAATGCAAGTGTGAGGGAGGTAGGTCAGCATACAAGTGTGTGCATATGCACTTGTGCACACATATATATGCTTGGGCACACAGGGGAAAAGGAGCTGTTGCTGTCATATTGGCTGTCACAGATAGATGGAGCAGGTCCCCTTGGAGGCTATCTGCAGCACACCATGGCTTTTTACCAAGCTTCTGCATCTTAGTCTAGTGGCGCTCTCTGGCCATTTCTGGAATTTGCTGTCTCTGCAAGGGGCAACACAGAAGAGCTTGGGAGTTAAAGAGAGATGGAGCTGGTAAAAAGTATCTTAGCTTCCTTGCCCATCAGTTATGCCCTTGAGATGTTTGACTGACTCTTAAAGAGAGTCTCTGGTGGGAGGGGCCTCAATTGCTGTCAGTAGCAGCATGCCTTTTCTTGACTTTCATCTTCTCTGTCTTCTTCCCCAGTTCCTCTCACTGTTGATTGGAATCAAAATATGTGCATCTAGATTTCCAGAAATCAAAATAAAGGTAGTGGCCCAGTTCCTGCCTCCTGGAGTGCCTCATACATGGCTTTCAACACAGCCAGGCTCCTGCTCAGACTGGCAGTGTGTCTTTCCACATCAGGCATTGCCCCTTTGGGGCAGCGGCCAGGAAGATCATGGGTCTGGTAGAAATAATAAATCATTCTTTAGGTTGGGAGACTCTCCCATCCTGTAAATCCAAGAGGGCCTATCCAGCAGGGGAGCACTGGTAACGAATGAAGACTGGGACTCCGCATCTATAAAAATAATGCCAAGTTCAAAGCAAGCCTGGAGCTTTCATGTTGGTTCCTGAGCAAGTGCAGCTTCAGCAATTCCTTATCATCTTTCAGCCGCATCTTTAAGAGCTCACTTGCATTAAGCATGTCTGGGTTGACTTGCTTTCTAAATGTCTCTTGGTGTAGCTGTGGACTCAGAAAGGTGGCAGAAAAACTCCCAGGAAAAGGATCAGGCTCCTGAATGCTGTGTTTTTCTCAGTTACCCTGGGTCCCAGCAGGCTGCAGATTGGACCTGCAACAGGCAGACACATGAAAGCAAACGTGTGCTTCTAACATTTTATAACCTGCCTCCCACAAACCAGAAGGCACCCCTTCCCCTCGCCTTCTTCTCTGCCTTGTTCTTGACATTTTTAATGTGGTGAGTATATAGCAAACTTTGCATTTCCTACACCTCCCACTTGGATTGAATCCTGGTCCCTCCAGGCCTGAGAATTCCAGTCATGAGCTCCACCCAGAGACCATTCCAGCCCCTTCCATCCAGGCCACACTCCTCCTACCTTTACATGTAGGGCTGCCATTTCTTTTTCTCCTCTGCTCCAATATATCAGTGCCTGCTGGGCAGGGTTGGGGGACACTGTTGCTGGATGAAAAGCCAGCACCACCTTTCTGCTCTAGTTCCCTGGCTTTGCTGCAGTGTGGAGGAACTGTAGGCAGGAGCCCAGCCTCATTTCCAGACATCTTGTGGGCTCTGCATAAAGCTGAGTGTGTGGCTGGATTTCTGCTTAAGCCAGGAAAAGCAATTGAGTCCCTTGGCTGAGTCCTTCCTTGTTTGTGGCTGGTTTAATTCTCTCACCTCAGAGGGTCTGGTGTGGAACAGAATAGTCAACACAGCCAGAGAAACACAAAGGCCTGGCCAGTTCTGTCCCCTCCCCTTCTCTTTCCCATGGAACACTCTGGAGTCTGGTTCAATCTAGCCAGGGAGCAGAGGGAAAACAAAGCTTTCTGGAGCCCAGTGGCAGATGCTAAGCAGTGCCTGACCCTTGTGTTCATAGGGGGAGGGTAAAGTCAACAGAGAGAGAAAAGGGGAAAGGGAGGGAGAGATAGCAAACAGAGGACAAGGGAAGAGAAAAAATACAACAAAGAGGATAGTTACACAGAGAAGTAGCTGATTGACACCTGCGACTCTCTGAAAGGCACTACAGTCATTTGTTACCCACCCCTATTTTAAATAGGGGTCAGAAGCTGGTGAGTACATATGTTGGCTCCAGAGAAGATACACAGCTCAGATTTTAGAACTTCCCAGGGTCCGCTAGAGTAGAAACTGGCATGACTCTACTTGATCTTGATCAAAGGGTTTTTAAATACTTTATAAAAAATAAATTGCTTGTGCAAATGTGAGAGATGGTATTTTTTTCTTCTGTCCATCCCAAGACTCAAATATAGACTATTACTACCACCCCAAGAATAATTTTAAGATGTATTTTAGGAGATTCTTAAGGGAAGAGATCACAGCAGTTGGGTTGGGTGTAACAGCTGGCACACAGTAGGTGTTCAATACATGTCTTAAATTGAATTCGTGAATG